GATTTTGTGCAAGTTTAGGTGCACGGGTGTCATCTCTCTTGAAGGAGTTGTATGGGTTGCCAATTTGGTTCCAGGCCCAATTCAACGTACTGGTTGTCATCTTTAAAGCCCTTCATGGACTGGTGCCAGATTATTTGAAGGACTCTCTTTTACTAATTACATCTACTCAACCCACCAGTCGAAAAACAGGATATGTTTTATGGATCTCATCTCTTAAGGAAGTCAGTGGAGCCTAAGGACTCCAGGGTGATACAGAATGGTTGGTATGGTTGTTGTTGCCAGGGGCATGTGGGGGTTTATTGGTGTTTTTTTTATTTCTTTTATTTCTATGAGCTGCCCAGAGTCACTTTGAGTGGGGTGTCATATAAATTTTCTTAAGAAATAAAATAAAAATCTCTTTAGTTAGTATATTCACAACACGGAGGTATCTCAACATATGGTCATTCTTTGAGTTTCCATCTTGATTTTGACAAGTGAAGGTTTCTCACCTGCATCTCTCTCTGCTTCTTCTGCTCCTCTGCCTGGCTCAGGAGAAAACCTTCAGCCAGGGACACCGCCTGGGAGCTGGTCTCTGCTCCACATTCCCGGATCCAGCTCTCTATCTCTGGAGGCAGGAGAGCCAACAACTGCCCCAAGATCAAGAGATCTAGCATCTTCTCCTTTGTCTTCTTTTCTGGCTGAAGCCACTGGCGGCAAAGCTGGTGGAGATGGCTACATATTTTCCGGGGCCCCTGGTCCCACAAGGAGCAGGACAGAGGACCCATCTTCCTCCGGGTGGCTTCCTGAAAGGCATTAAGGTCTTCTGTTATCCTCCATTGGGTCCCTTTCAAAGAGGGAGCGTCCATCTCCACCTGCAGTCCACACGCCGCCTCGTTTGGAAGGTGAGGCTTTAAGTCAGTGGGCACAATCTTTCCTGGCACAAGATGATCCTGGTGAGGGTCTTTTGGGGAGCTCTCTACGGGCAACTCTTGGGGGGACCTGTGCCTCAGTCCTGAACCCTCCAAAGAGACTTCTGGCAAGGTCCCATTCTGAGCATCCTCCTCCTCCTCCAGCGGGCCTATCCAAAGAGCTCTTTTCAGGTCACCAGCCGGCCAACTCCGCTCCTTGCACACCAGGTGCAGCGCCTTCTCCAGCAGCGGGCGCAGCTCCTGCAGGGGCAGCTCGGCCCCTCGCTCGGCCCAGCCTTCATTCTGCAGGGCCTGGATCAGAACCATCAGCCGCTTCGGCCGGGCGCGCCCTTCCTCCTGTAGCAGCGCTCGGACAGCCTCCCGAGGCCGCTTTTCCAGTAGCGCCTCTAGGGCGAGCTGCACAGCGAGCGCGGCATCCCCGGGCAGGCCCGGTCCCTCCGCTCTCTCCAGCTCCGCCGTCAGTCCCAGAAGCGCCGCCCGCAGCGCCGCCACGCCGGGCTTCCTCCCGCGCCTCCGTCCCGTCGTAGCCGGGCCTGGGACCTCAGCCAGCTCTTGGATGCCGTGCAAGAGAGACATCTCCGGTTCGGTCCCTGACAGCGCCGCGTCCCGGGCCAGCAGGATTGGTGACCCTGGTAGCAGCTAATGGCCCCGTCCCTGCTGGACGCTCCTCCCAGAGGGGCGAGCCCGGGAGCTCCGCCCCCTCTGAAGAGACCGTTAAAAGGGGTCCTGGACCCTGAGGGACCTGACATTTAAACTAAAGGAGAAGTTAAGTTCTCTAGACTCTAGGAAGAGGAGAAACGTGAGGCAGGTTTCCAGAAGTGCCACCTAAAAAAAAGATCCTTTTCTTCTTGTAAAATAAGAGCGCTTCTTCATGAACTTCCCTGGCCTGGGACTTGCCGAAAATTTCCCTCAGCGAGTATTTTGAAGAATAAACCATTTTACTGAAAAGGCACCACAGATTTGTGGGACGGAGAGATGGTGGTCTTTGAGTGTGGGGGTCAAGGGATGATCTCTGAAGATTAAAACCCTGAAGAGAAATATTTAAAGAGACCTTAAGAAGAGAATATTTATGAACATATACATACATCATACACGTGTGTATGTGTATGTGTATGTATATAGATATATAAAATTTCTGAGGTAAAATTTTGAGATGGGTGTTTCTTTATATATATAGATACACACAACACACACACACACACACAAAGAAAGGCCCATCTCAAAATTTTACCTCAGAACTTGCACCAAATTAAACTTGAAAAGTCCCACGTTCACTGAGTGTAGAGGAATTCTTTGAAAAGGAGAAAATCAGAAGATGGCAGCTTATATGAACCTAATATTTTGATCTAATACATCAAGAGCATCCATATTTTTTGAAGAACTGAAATGCTTCCTCAAGAGAGATGCATTGCCTGAGAGGCCCAAGCACCAAGTATTTGAAGCAGCTTAAATATGAAAAAAAAATCTCAAAGGAACAAAAGGACCAGAGGTGAAAAAAATACGAAGATTGGGGGTGGGGGGGGGGAGAGTCAATATTACTCATAGCTGCAAATCAAAGATGGTGATCATGATCGTGTGATGGAAACTCCACCTATTTTTTTATTGCAACCTTACCTCAGCAGTTTTAGACATGGTATCGCAGATCTGCATTTGGTTACTTATACACTTCTAAGCAAATGAAAAACTCACCTCAAATCTACTGAGATACCGAGTTCTGTTTCTTGCACTTCTGGTGGCCTCAACCATTACGATGCAGTTCTAACATGTCTGATATTATCTCTCCATCTTCTTCTGTGTCCACCTCTTGTTCTTTGGCCTTCTCTTTTTGTATATGCCTTGTATAGTATAGAATCACAAACCACTTAACTTGCTGTTTTTATATATAGTTTAAGATCTATTCCAATTCTATTATAATCTCATTTTTATTTTATTTTATTCCTTCTGGTCACTCTGGCAGCTTTCCTCAAACATCTCATTTCCATGGTGACTAACTTTCACTGATGTTTTATTCCAAGTGTCCATGTTTGGCACTGGTAACATAAAGTGGGCATGAATATGCTTTGTATGAGATGCTTCTTTGAATGTTAATTTCTTCATCCATTTTTCCATCAGTGAATGTCATTCCTACATATTCTGATACTGTTTTGTCCTTGTCCCCTCTATTACTAAATTTAAGGTATGCTTTTTATAATAGTCATCCGAATTAAAGTTTCTCATTTCCATCCACTTTAGTTTACTGATTCCCAAGATAATCAATGTTCAATCTTGCCTTCTCATGTTTGATTACAACCACCTTACCTTGATTCACAGATTTTACCTTCTAGGTTCCTATGCAATATTATTCTTTATAGCATTGGACTTTCCTTTCAACCCCACCCCCCCTCCAACACAACCACAGCAGAATCAGAAAATGGAAATGAAGGGCTGTTCCCCCATGTCCTACTTCCTGGGTATTCTGGGCATTTTCCTGGAGGCAGTGCTGGAGGTCTGCTTTCCCCTTGCCTGAGCCATGCATGAAGGGAACAGGACAGCAGGGAACAATGGATCTAGGTTTTTCCACTTTAATGGAAACTTTTGCACTCCCACTTTTCTTCCTCAATGCAAGCCCATGACCTCTTTCTCACGACCAGACAGTCATGTCAGAACCTCTATCCTTGCAAGACATTCCCTGCAATCTCACTTCCTTCAGCAGTGCTCAAAGGGTTATCACAAGTGAACACAGAGTCCTAGAAAGGTAAGATGTTCAGTGAAATGTGGTGTGATAAAAATGCTGATGATACTGAACAAACCAGTGGCTTTTAGTCAATTTGAGCAGCAACGTGGCTGAGCATTCTTTGAGAAAACACTTTCAAACCAATGTCAACTCTGAAACCTTTGGAGCTGGCTCCAATGGCTTTCCAAAAATTATTTATTTTATTTATTTATACTATTTGTCACATCTCATTTTCCAATGTGACTAAAATGAGAGATAATAATTAAGCCATGATCAGAAATTAATCTCAACCAAGTGTCTTTATCTATTTTAATGTTATTTTAACATGTAGTTTTTGTTCTGGCTCTCGTCGCACTACAGAAAGGCAGAAATGGCCCTGCTGGCTGCTCGAAAGAAAGGTCTTTTGCACATGCATATAGGACATTGGAATTCTATAAATTCTTCCTGAAGCAAATTTCCACACTCCAAACATTTACTTGGTTTCTCTCCAGGTGGATTCTTGGGACAAAAAATAAAAAATAAATTGTTGACTAAAATTGTTCCGTACTATCTGTTCATTCTAGTTTTCTCTAGCCTCAGTTCCACTCTGAGTCTAATTTCTCTTTGATTTTTGTTCCGCCCAAAAATAACAGCAAAAGGCAGTTCTCTTCTTGTTCTTCTGTGATCTTATCAGATCAGTAGCAATATCTGGGCCATATCTTCAGACATGAAGAATCTCTGCCAATGTTCTTTGAAAGGTATCCCTTATTTCCATTTTCTTTATCTTGATTCTCTGTGATTTCCAAATCTCTCTTCTCTCATTTCATGTTTCATTATTTGCTATGTCAACACGCTTGCCTTCTTTTTGTTCTCATTCTCCTGCATATCTCTTACTTGGAACAAAAAGAAAAAACTCATTAGAAATATAAGACACAAACTACAGAGATACAATATATGAGATTAATTGTATGAGCACACCATTTCAATAAATTGAAATAGCACACAATTTCAAATTTATCCAAAAATGAATAAAATGGTGGTTCTACTGGTTTTTGAAGCAAAGCTGGACATTCCAAGCATTTTCAACTCCAAATTTCTGAAAAAAGGATTTTCTCTTATTGATGTGCCACATGGCTGGACTGTAAAATGACAAAACTTTAAAAAACAGGGCACCCATAACTGAGTGATACAAGCTCTGCCTTTATGTGCATTTCATGTGCGACTTACAAAAAAAACAAGCAGTTGTGACTGTACTTTTTTTAACCATACCTTTTGGACACCCAGAGTTTTCAATCAGGGTTTCACAGTGAGGGAAGTACTTTTTCAGGAATATACATTATATACTCAGGAGTCAAGTAAATATAATTATATATATAAAATCTAAAAATACACATTCATACCTAAATGGATCCTCATATGGGATGTAAGATTACTGCTCGTCGTAAAGCTCTTTCCACATTCCATGCATTTATATGGCCTCTCCCCTGTATGGATTCTTTTATGGGATGTAAATGACCCATTCTCACGGAACCTCTTTCCACATTCCAAGCACTTATATGGCTTCTCCCCAGTGTGGATTCTTTTATGAATAGTAAGAGAAGTGTTTTCACGGAAACTTTTTCCACACTCAAGGCATTTGTGCGGCCTTTCTCCTGTGTGGATTGTTTTATGGGAAGCAAAATGACTGCCCCGGCTGAAGCTCTTTCCACACTCCATGCATGTATACGGTTTCTCTCCAGTGTGGATCCTTTCATGAAGAGTAAGGGACCCATTATTACGGAAGCTCTTTCCACATTTCCTGCACTTATATGGTTTTTCCCCCGTGTGGATCCTTTTATGAGAGGTAAGTTGAATCTTTTGAGTAAAGCTCTTTCCACACTCTTTACATTCATATGGTTTCTCCCCTGTGTGAATCCTTACATGGGAAGTGAGTTGAATATTTTGAGTAAAACTCTTTCCACACTCCATACATTTGTATGGTTTCTCCCCAGTGTGGATTCTTTTGTGACAAGCAAGGTTGCTGGTTGTGTTGAAGCTTTTGCCACACTCAGTGCATTTGTATGGCTTCTCCCCTGTATGGATCATTTTATGAGACGTAAGTTGAATGTTCTGCGTAAAGCTCTTTCCACACTCCAAGCACTTATATGGCTTTTCCCCTGTGTGGATCCTTTTATGGTAGGTAAGTGAACTGCTCATGCTGAAGCTCTTTCCACATTCCATGCAGTTATATGGTTTCTCCCCTGTGTGGATCCTCTTGTGGAAAGTAAGAGAACTGCTCTCACTGAAAGTCTTCCCACATTCCATGCATTTATATGGTCTCTCTCCTGTGTGGATCCTTTGATGGGAAGTAAGCTGAGTGCTCCACCTGAAGCTTTTCCCACACTCCATGCATGTATATGGCTTTTCCCCTGTATGGATTCTCTGATGTGAAGTCAATTGAATATTTTGAGTAAAGCTCTTTCCACACTCTTCACACTTATATGGTTTCTCCCCTGTGTGAATCATTTTATGGGAATTAAGATTGACTTTCTGAGTAAAGCTCTTTCCACACTCGTCACATTTATAAGGTTTCTCTTCTGTGTGGATTTTTTTATGGGAATTGAGATTACCACGCTGGCTGAAACTCTTTCCACATTCCACACATTTATACGGTTTTTCCCCTGAGTCAGTCCTTTCACTAGGAATAAGAGAACTGCTCCCACTCAAATACTTTCCATTCTCTGTACTGTTATATGTTTTATTTCTCATTTTGGCTTCTCCACATAAAGAAATGCTAGAAGTCCAATTGTAGCTTTTTTCAACCTCTTCGCCTAGATCCTCTTCTTTAATGTGAATTGTGTAATGTTCATATAGATCTAAGCTCTCTTCAAATGTTTCCACATTTTCCACAATTGGATTACCTTTCTGATCTCCTTGAATTTCAATGGATGGGAAAGTTAAGCTCCTTTTACTCCTGTTTGACAGATTTCTTTCGTTTTCTGTTGTTTCCATTGAGTATGAAAACTCCTTTCTTCTCTCTTCATCCCTGAATGTTTGGAAGATTTCCTTGTTCTCTTGAACATTATTTCCTTAAGAGAAAAAGAATGAATGAAAATTGAGGCAAGGTAGAGGAAACAAACCAATAATTCATAGCATAGAAGGTAAGTGTAAATTCCCTAGTGAAAATCTGCCAAGGATTCTCCACTGTTTTGAAAGGTGTTCTGCTGACTAACATTAAATACTCTGATCAAAGCCTTACAAAAGTTGGACTTTGAGTGACAGCTTGTTATAACAATAATATGAAGAAAACTGTACAATATAATAATAGAATACTTATTTATAAGTTTCTTAAACTGTCACAAAATCCACTTATTTAAATAAAAAAGCACGTTTACACTGTTACACATTTTACTCAATAAATTAATTTTATTTAGGGAATTCTACTCACAGCTGGAATTCAGTTTAAGAAAGTGAGGAATCAGGGAGAAGAAGCTTGTAATATTTATTGCAGAGATGGAGAAGTGGGAGGATGGGAGCAAGGAGTTGTACTAACTACATCTAATTTTTTGCTTATCTTGAAATTCTTGCTATTAACTGGGAAAAGAACAAGTATATAGTGAAAAGAGGGAGGAGAATTTGGGGTACAGAAATAGGAGTCAACATAGTAACAACAGTTACATCTAGTGTCATTAAATGAATTTTTTAACTGTAAAATGACAGCACCCCTCCTTTTCCCAGCCAGGTAAGATCATTTTATGAACCTTTAAAAGAGAAAACATAGCTGGCTCTATTTATTCACAAAGTATTTCTTCTAAGCATCTGGGGGCAGGGCAGGGGGCCTTACCCAAAAAGGCCACATTTCTGGAGTTCTCCAGCATGACTTCTCTGTGCAGGTCTTTCTGAACAGGATCTAGCTGAGACCATTCCTCCTCAGAGAAACACACAGCCACCTCCGCTAAAGAGACAAGAACCTGCAAACAGGCATATATCCCTATGAGCATCCAAATTTTATTTTCAAAATTCTCTCCATTTGATTCGAGAATCCCAAAGCAAAAAGATTTGCAGTGGGTTAAACAGACATCTTCTGCAGGGGTAAAAATCTGATGTGGAAAAAAGCTGTCTGTTCACAGCATTTGACTGAAATAAGATTTTTGGATGAAGCAGATTATCTGAGGAGTCTTTAGATGTTTCAGTCAAGCTGCAGTTTGTAATCATCCAGATCTGGAGATATTTCAACCTATTTGAAAAAGGGGACCTATGACCCGCATTTAAAGTTCCGATGCTCACGCCTCCATCACCACATGGTTACATGACCATACTTCAGGCCCAGAGCAGCATGGCTGCATTTACTGCCATTTGCAGCACATCCAGCAGTCATGTGACCATGATTTATAATGGTTTTACCAAAAACCAGTACTTATTTCAGTTTTCGACAAAACCGCATCCATAACAAACAATGACATTTATGATCATTGCAATTGACTTAAAAACCAGGCACATGCTCCCATAGATGCAGTTATTAACTTACATCCTCCCCCCAAATGTCATAAATTCTCTCTTTGGTTTCTAGAATCCCCAAAAACTTGCAATAGATTAAATAGGCATACTCTGCAGGATGTCTATGGAGATTCTCAGTCATGGTTGTCCCCAAAGGTGCTTTTTTTCAAAAGTCAACTGGACTCCCCTCCCCCCCAAGACATTTTGCTTCTCATCCAAGAAGTTGGGTGAATAACTGAGCTGAAGAACCTTCTTGGATGAGAAGTGAAACATCTTCAAGGAAAGAAAAAAATCAAAGTCCAGTCACCTTTTAAAAGGCACCTTTGGGACATGCTCTGCAGGGTTAAAAACTTGATGTAAAAAAAAAAGCAGAGTTCACAGCATTTGACCAATGTAGTAACAGTTGTGGATAAAGCACATTATCTGAGGAAACAGATTAGATCTGCTTAGGTCCATAGCCACTCAGATCTGGAGATATTTCATCTCTGATCTTGGATAGGGTAGCACATCTCTTTTCAAGATTGGTGCACAATCTGAGGTGACTTCCTCCATGACCAGAAAGGACTTTGTAAAAACTTTGTATGCTATTTGCATCATTTCCTAGATTGGAAGGATCTTCAGTCACTCATGCACTTTTCTTAGGGCTGCTCTTCAAGACTATCTGGAAGCTGTAACTGTTTCAAAATGCAGAACTGGTTCTTGGTATGATTCAGAACTGCTTTATCGGGGGGGGGGGGCTAATAAATTTGAATTGAATTATTGTAACCTATAAATAAAGCACTTTATACCAAAGGTCCCAGATATTTAAGGGAACACCTATCTCCCTTTGTATAAGCCAACTGGTTCAATTTTAACAATTAAAATAGTGCAAGCTACAATTAAATAGTGTTATTTATTGGTCTCTCAGAAGCATTGGTTGGAAATGGTCACCGAATCAAATAAACCGTGCTTGCACAACTTTTATGGCCCTTCAGTGAATGAACCAAAGTATCTTTCTGGATCAATTCACAGATAGGCATATCACTGGTTCGCGTCTTGCCAGCCAGTTGCAGAACCATGCATTGCTGGGATCTTCTTAACATGTTAGCCAATGGACTGAGGGTCTCTTGAGGGATCAGTCCTGCTCCCTCATATACACACACTTTCCCAAGAGTGTACAGAGGGCTCATTGAAAGATTAGATTTGTGAAGTCCATTCAATATTTGGATGACACTCAATCCAATTTTGACTTGTCAGTCCAAAGCAGTTTTGAGAAGAGAGTTAAGCTAAGCATTACTGAAGCTGAGCCCCCATTTTATATTGCTATAAACAATATACAGTATTATATACAGAGCCTATAACAAGAGACCGCATAATACAAGTTGTCCTCAACAGTTCATTTAGTGACCATTCAAAGTTACAACGGCACTGGAAAAAAACAGACTTATGACAGTTTATCACACTTATGATTGTTGCAGCATCCCCATAGTCACATGATCAAAATTCAGCTGCTTGGCAACTGGTTCATATTTATGATGATTGCAGAGTCCCTGGGTCATGTGATCAGCTTTTGCGACTTTCTGACAAGCAAACTCAATGGGGAATACAGATTCACTGAACAACCACGTTACTAACTTAACAAATGTAATGATTCACTTAACTGTGAGAAAAAAGTCATAAAATGAGGCCACCTCACTTAACAAATATTTCACTTAGCAACATAAATTTTGGGCTCAATTGTGATCGTAAGTTGAGGATTATCTGTAACCTATCTTCCCTGACATTTCTTCTCCTACCCCTAGATGAACTGGGCAGCACACAAATCCAGTAAATAAAAATAAAATAAACAATACCTGAGTTAGAGGTTCAACTGTTTTTTCAACCCCATCAGAAAAAGGAGAAGAACCTATGAATGCGGACTTTCCATTCTCTGTAAGTAAAAATGTCAAAAGCAGAATTTTAAGAAACATCATTACTAACATAGGGATGCAAAGGAGATCCAAAAAGAACGAAGTACAACAGCTTTCTCCCCAAAGAATGCTCTCTTACTGTAGAAGGTGTCTTGACTTTGATCTTCGTGGAAGATCCCACTGAAGACCAACTCTCGGGAAGGATCTAGAAAATCCCTCCTTTCCTCGGCGTTCACAGAGATGGACTTCAAGTCAGGCCTCTGGAAATGAAGGGCCTGGAGAAGCAAAGAAGTGCAATTAAGAGAATGTACGGAAGAAAGTAAAAGCAGATTCTCGCAGTCTGCTCAATGGAACAATTTGCCTTAAACATCTTTCCTTAGCATCTTCAAAACATTATTAGGTAAAACTGTTAAGAATCCTAACCTATGGTTATTCTTTGAGTCCCACTTTAAGCTTACCAGCTGAAGGTATCTCACCTGAACTTCTACCTTTTCCTTCTTTTCCTCCCTCTGGCTCAGGAGGAAAGCTTCAGCCAGGGCCACCGCCTGGGAACTGGTCTCTGCTCCACACTCCCGGATCCAGCTCTCCATCTCTGAGGGCAGAATAGCCAGGAATTGCTCCAGGATCACCAGATCCAGCATCTGCCCCTTTGTGTTCTTTTCGGGCTGAAGCCACTGGCGGCAAAGCTGGTGGAGGTGGCTGCACGCTTTCCGGGGGCCCTGGTCCCACAAGCTGGATGGCAGCACGCCCATCTTCCTGCTGGTTGTTTCTTGGAGAACATTCAGAAGGTCTTCTGTTTTCCTCCCGGGAGCATCCTTCAAAGAGGGAGCGTCCATCTCCACCTGAAGCCCGCATGCAGCCTCGTTTGGAAGGTGAGGCTTTAGGTCAGTGGGCACAATCTTTCCTGGCGCAAGATGATCCTGGTGAGGGTCTTTTGGGGAGCTCTGTACGGGCAACTCTTGGGGGGACCTGTGCTCCAGTCCTGACCCCTCCAAAGAGGCTTCTGGCAAGGTCCCATTCTGAGCATCCTCCTCCTCCAGCGGGCCTATCCAAAGAGCCCTTTTCAGGTCACCAGCCGGCCAACTCCGCTCCTTGCACACCAGGCGCAGCGCTTTCTCCAGCAGCGGGCGCAGCTCCTGCAGGGGCAGCTCGTCCCCTCGCTCGGCCCAGCCTTCCTCCTGCAGGGCCTGGATCAGAGCCAGTAGCCGCTTCGGCCGGGCGCGCCCTTCTTCCTGCTGCAGCGCTCGGACAGCCTCCCGCGGCCGCTTCTCCAACAGCGCCTCCAGGGCGAGCTGCAGAACGAGCCCGACGTCCTCGGGCAGGCCCGGTCCCTCCTCTGCCTCCAGCTCCGCCGTCAGTCCCAGCAGAGCCGCCCGCAGCGCTGCCCCGCCGGGCTTCCTCCCGCGCCTCCTTCCCGTCGTAGACGGGGCCGGCCCCGCGCCCTCGGCCAGCGCTTGGATGCCGCGCAAGAGAGCCATCTCCAGCCGCAGCAGTCCCTGTAGTCGCTCCTGCTCAGCTTCCGATAGCGCCGCGTCCCGGGCTAGCAGAGCCTCTCGGCCACGCCGGGCTTGGCTCAGCTGCGCGCAGAAGCGCTCCAGGTCCGGCGGCTCGTCCAGCTTCACCGCCCAGCGCCAGCGGGCCTGGACCGGCTCGGAGACGCGCGCCGCCAGCAGCGTCTCGGCTTCAGCCAGCCTGCGCGCCAGCTGCTCCGGGGAGATGTCCAGCGCCGCCATCGCCTGTCTGACCCCGACCCCTGCGCCCCTCTCCCGTACCGCCGTCCAACCCCCTTCGATGGGATGTCCGCAGCTTGATGGCAACTGCTGGCCCCTCCCTCCCTCAGAGGACCCTCCTCCCCAGAGGCGGGGCTTCGCCGCCCGCGCCTTTTCCCTGACTCCGCGAAGGGGGGATTCACTTTTATATACGTCCTTCAACCGGACGCCCACGGACGCCGCTTGCTGAACATAGGCAACTCATAGCACTTTAGAGCTGAAGCAGCTCTTCACTTCTCCTGCTTGGGCGGGGGAGGGGGGGCGGTTTGCACTAGATGACCTACAAGGTCCTTTCCAACTCTGTTAATCTCTGTATATAAAAGCAAAATACCCCTCATGCATCATCATAAAATCTCCAGAACCTTAAAGCCTACAAACTTGAAATTTGGCACCTATGTTCCTCTTGGCTTCTAGGGGCTCACTAAGAAAGGATTTTTCAAAATGACCATCAGAGCATTAGTATTTTGTATATTATTATTAACACACTCTGATGCTAAGGAGTTCTATTCCCCCTCCCCACCTGAAAAGAAACCTGTTCCAAATGCAAAACACAAGCAGAGGAGATGAGTTTCTTCAGTTTTAGTTTCACAGCACCAAGCAGCTTTAGTACAGAACAGTTGAGCTAAGGCATGCCCAGGCTCCTTGCTGTCTCCTTGCTCATAGCAAATATTGTTTCAGTTTCCAAACAGCACTCAACTGTCTCACACACTAACAGGATACTAGCCAGATGAATACCGGTGGATGCTTGTAGGCAGGGGCACATTTTTTCCCCTTATTTTCCTCCCCCAAAACTAAGCCCGATCACATAGTTTCGTAGGGAAGCATAGATATAAGAGCTAGTCTGTTAATAACATACAGGACAATTCTATGTTTGCTTGGGAGTAAGTCCCATTATGTTCAAGCTTCTTGGATGAGAAGTCAAACATCTTCAGACAAAAAAAAGGAAGTCCAGTTGCTTCTTGAAAAAAAGCATCTTTGGGACAATCATGACCAGGATGACTGAGAATCTCCATAGATGCACAGCACTTAGATTTATATACCACACCATAGTGCTTTATATTTAATACACAAATATTTCCAAGGACATTGTATTAGAAAAGCTTTGTTCTTGGTATGGGCACAAATTAAGGAAAACACTATTTGAAAACACCTGCCTCCACGATAGATGCATTGATACATCCAAACTTGATTGATATGGGAAAAATTATAAGATACTAGCAGGGTATACTTGTGCTTCACTAGGAAACTATGTGATCAGGCAAGTTTTTGGGGAGAAAAATAAGGAAGAAAAAATTGTGCCTCTGCCTATTCATCCATCGGTATTCATCTGGCTAGCATCCTGTCAGTGGATGGTCATCCTGTCAGGGCTGTTTAGAAACTGAAATAGTATCTGCTGTGTGAGCAAGGAGACAGCAAGAAGCTTGGGTGTGGCTTACCTCAACTGTTCTGTACTAAAGCTGCTTGGTGCTGTGAAACTGAAACTCCTCTCCTCGTGTTTTGCATTTGGAACAGATTTCTTTTCAGGTGGGGAGGGGGAGTAGTATCAAAGTGTGTTAATAATAACATACAAAGTACTAATGCTCTGATGGTCATTTCAAAAAATCATTTCTTAGTGAGCACCTAGAAGCCAAGACGAACATATATGCCAAATTTCAAGCTTGTAGACTTTACAGTTCTGGAGATTTTTTGATGATGTGTGAGTGGTATTTCGCTTTTACATATATAAAGGTATCTTGAATGAGAAAGGGGAACTGAAAAACAAACAGGAATTGAATAGAGAAGGGATAGATTTAGCATGGTGGCTGCATTTACAAATACAATTAAGATATTTTAAAAAGATGCTAAAATATATGTTTTTTATAAAGACCCAACAGAATTGGACCAGATCCTAACAGGAAATGAAGAGAAATTAATTTTAAAAAATTATACCTATTTGCTGAGTATTAGAATGGAAGAAGAGCAAGTAAAGGAAACAATGATTGTGTGGGCTAAAAATTTTGGTTACTCTATAGCATTGATGGTGAATCTTTTAGAGACCTGGTGCCCAAACTGCAACCCAAAACCCACTTATTTATCGCAAAGTGCCAACATGGCAATTTAACCTGAATATTGAGGTTTTAGTTCAGAAAAAACAACTCATAAGATTAACATCTTTTGTCTTAAAAAAAAAAAACACGATAACAGAACTTTCAATGATACAAAAACCTTTTTATTGAAAGGTAAGTTTGCATTTGGCATGCTTTTGATTAATGTGACTTTTGCTGTTGTATGCATGCTAATAATTTTTCTAACCTTGGCTCATACTTTGTAAGTTTGAGAGCAACACATGCAGCACTCAGGTCATCAGTTAGTTTGCTTCTGCTGTCAGGTTTGACATAATTCAAAGCTAAAAACACCTGCTCGCAAGCATAAGATGATCCAAACAAAGTAAGGAAAGCAATCCCAAGTACTTTCATTGACTTAAAATTATTTGGCAGAGAATTCCACACTTTAAGGATTTCATTTTCACAACTAACTGTGTCAGAATTAACTATGCTGTCCTTTGTCATCCTTTCCATCTTCTCAAGGGTTTCACGCAGGTCACAGAATTTATTTTTCCACATGGAATTTTCTTGAAATTCCAATAGCTCCATTTCCAGATTTTCTAAATCTAACCAGCGTAAGCAGGAAAGATCAAGTTCTTCAAATTTGGCTTTATCTGGAGAAGTAAGAAAATATAGGGTTGTCTCCATCTTACGGAACTGTAAAAATCTGTTACTAAAATTCACCTTTGTGGCTGCTACAATGCTAGAAAATTCCTTGTAGATTTTCTGATGGCTTGTAGGATTGTCTGCAAATGTTGAAGAATTTTCTAAATGCATTTTTAGATTTGGAAAATATTTCAGCTGCCCACTTTTAAGGTCTCTTTCAAAAACCTGCAGTTTTCTCTCAAACGTTTTAATATCACAAAATGTCATCTCTGCTGTTTTTCCTACACCTTGTAGTTGTTTGTACAGTACATTGAAGTGTACTGTAAAATCTGTAAAAAACATGAGGTTGGTAAGCCAGGCCCTATCAGTGAGCTGTGGATATTTCTGCCCTTTTTCATTCATAAACAGCCTAATTTCATCCAAGCAGGCTACAAATCTCTCCAGGACTCGTCCTCTGCTCAGCCATCGGACATTACTGTACATAAGTAAACAATTATACTGCGCCTGAACCTCCTCAAGAAGTGCTTTAAACTGTTGAAAATTCAGTGCACGAGCCATGATGTAATTCACCATTTTTGTGACATCTTTGAGGACGTCGTCAAATTTTTTGCTGCTTTCCCTGGCACAAAGAGCTTCTTGATGTATAATACAATGGAACTGAATGACTTGATGTTTTATTTCTTTAACAAAGAACTGTACGAAACCAGAGGTTGCCCCCACCATAGAAGGTGCCCCATCACTACTAATTGAAACCACTTTTTCTGGCCTTATGTCTCGTGACAAAAAAGCCTCCATGACAGCATTGTAGATATCTATCCCTTGTGTTCCTTCGGGCAAAGACACCAGTTTCACCAGCTCTTCTCTGATGATGTCACCAACAGCATAACGCAAAATAACGGCTAGCCTTGCATGATTGTTTATATCTGTGCTTTCATCCAAGCACATGGAATAACAGGCTGCCTTTTGTAAGTCACTGGTTAGCTGCTGACTAACATCACTTGCCATGCGCTGGACTCGATCTTTAACGGTATTTCTGCTAAGTGGCATCTCAGAGATGTGTTGAATAATTTTATTCCTGTTTGGGAAATCATGAAAAAGGGAACTACACTCAGACAACATGGCCGTTTTGATAGTATCTCCATCTGAGAGGGGCTTACCATGTTTTGCTATGCACAGTGAAATTTGAAAACTGGCAGCTGTCAGATGATTTGTTCTAGAAAGATAGTTGGAAACACTAAGAGACTGGGAATGGTATTTCCTCAATTTATCTTCAAGAAACTCTTTTCTTTCAGTTGCAGCAAGTTCAGCAACATTTTTGTGTTTGGTGTTAAAGTGCCGTCTGACACTTGATGTGCGACATACAACACTTTCATTACACAAAGTACATAATGCTTTCCCATTGTGTTCAATCATTCCAAATGACTCTGTCCAGGCCTCTCGGAATGATCTTCCACTATCTGTTCTTGCCTTTTTTGCTGCACTCACTTTTGGGTGTTGAAGACTTGGAGTCTACAGAAACACAATTTTTTTTAAAAAAAATGAAGCATCCAATACAAATCTATCCCTGTACTAAAAATAGTTAACACTATTAGTTAGTAAAGTAATACCTAGCAGTCAGCACGGGTTTGTTAAAAACAGATCATGCCAAACCAATCTTATTTCATTCTTCAACACAGTGACTAAATTAGTAGACCAGCAAAATATTGTGGACATAATATATTTAGATTTCAGCAAGGCATTTGATAAAGTAGACCACAACCTACTTCTTAGTAAGCTAGAAAAAAGTGGAATAGATAGCACCACCACTAGATGGATTCGCAACTGGCTAGCAAACCGTACTCAATGAGTAGTCCTTAATGGGTCTAAGTCTACATGGAGGGAAGTAAGCAGTGGGGTGCCACAAGGTTCTGTCTTAGGCCCAGTACTCCTCAATATCTTCATTAACGACTTAGATGAGGGAATAGAAGGGGAACTTACCAAATTTGCAGATGATACTAAGCTGGCAGGAATAGCTAACACCCAAGAAGATAGGCTCAAGATCCAGATGGATCTTGACAGACAAGAGCACTGGGCCGTACCTAACAAGATGAAAGTCAATGTAGAGAAAAAAAAGCAAGAAAAACCAAAAGTACAGATATAGACTGGGTGAAACCAGGCTCAATAGCAGTAACTGTGAGGGATCTTGGAGTCTTAATAGACAACCAGCTAAATATGAGCCAGCAGTGTGTAGCAGCAGCCCAAAAAGCTAATGCAACCCTAAATTGCATTAACAGAGAGATACAATCGAGATCAAGGGAGGTACTAATACCACTCTATAAAGCCTTAGTAAGACCACACCTAGAGTACTGCATCCAGTTTTGTTCACCACATTATAAAAAAAAATGTTGAGACTCTAGAAAAAGTGCAGAGAAGAGCAACCAGGATGATTAGGGGACTGGAGACTAAGGCATATGAAGAACGGTTGCAGGAACTGGGGATGGCTAGTCTAGTGAAGAGAAGGACCAGAGGAGACATGATAGCGGTCTTCCAAAATTTGAGGGGCTGCCACAAAGAAGAAGGATTCCAGCTATTTTCTAAAGCACCCGAAGGCCAGACAAGGAATAATGGAAGGAAACTGAACAAGGAGAGATTTAACCTGGAAACAAGGAGAAACTTTCTGACAGTGAGAACAATCAACTAATGGAACAGCTTGCCCTCGGAAGTTGTGGGAGCGCCATCAGTTGAGACTTTCAAGAAGAGATTGGACTGCCATTTGTCAGAAATGGTGTAGGGTCTCCCGCCTGGGTGGGGGGTTGGACTAGATGACCTACAAGGTCCCTTCCAACTCTGATTATCTGTAAAAAGTTATCTGTAGTTGACACTAACAAAATGAATATTCCCGTAATCAACAATCTATGGCAGTGATTCTCAGCTGGGGTTCCTTTTGAATTTGCTGACAACCAGCCCAAGGGGGCAATGTTCCACTGACCACCAGCTTTTGGCCTGCTCTGAAAAAGGCATCTGAGTGCATTTTCTACCTTTGATTCACTTCCACTGTACATGCGTTGTACCTACTTATTGGGAATTTGCATAAATAAGATGAAGTGGAGGTATAAGCAACAAGGCAGGGTTAGTGACACATGCAGGGAGAAGGAGGGTAAGGGAAGGTTTTTCGGCGCAGGAGCATCGCTCAGGAAAGCAGCCAGAGCAGGGCACGGCAGGGAAGCCTTGTGCAAAAATACACGGGCCAGGAAGACAAGTTGGCAATGGGAGGATGGTGAGGCTCAGCTGCCTTTTGGGCTCGGCTCTCACACAGCCCTCCCCGGGGAGCAAAGCCTTGGATGGATCGTCCCGAAGATCTCAAGGGGCTCCAGAGTTTCCACACACCTCTGCCAGCCCGAGTGTGGTCTGGGCGAGCAGCAACAGCAAGTAAGCGAGGGGGAGGAAGTCACACAGTCCCTGTACTCACAGCAACTTCGGCGACGGCAGGCAAGCAGGTGAGGTCCGGGAGCAGCTGGGCCCGATCGGTGATGGCAGGAGCAGCTGGGCCCGATCGGTGATGGCAGGCAAGCGGTTGAGGTCTGGGAGCAGTGGGCGAAGTCCAGGAGCAGCGGGGGAGATCTGGGAGCAGCTGGGCCTGGGCCACGTGGTCTGGGCGATCCACGACAGCAAAGTGGGCAAAGTCCGGGAGCAGCAGGGCCTGATAGGCGATGGCAGGAACAGCTGGGCCTGATAGGCGATGGCAGGAACAGCTGGACCCGATTGGTGATGGCAGGCAAGCGGGCAAAGTCTGGGAGCAGCGGCCGAGGTCCAGGAGCAGCGGCCGAGGTCCAGAAGCTGCTAGGCCCAGGCCATGTGGTCCAGATGATCGTTGACGGCAGTCAAGCGGTCCATTTTTTTTCCCCCATTTTGTAAATGGGAAGTCTGCTGTCGGCCAGAAAGCAGCTTGGTGCAGTGACACGTGCCCACAGAGAGGGCTCTGTGTGCCACCTGTGGCATGAGTGGCATAGGTTCGCCACCACTGCTCTATAGAATTGGATAAATGGCAAAAATTGTGGGATAGAAACTATAAATTAATAATGTCTGCTGCATATAAAGAAAACTTACATAAAATGTTTTATAGATGGCACTTCCCACCAGCTAGGTTGGCCAAAATGTTCAAAGATATGTCCACTGAACGTTGGAAGTGTAGCCAGATTCCAGGCTCGTACTACCATATGTGGTGGACGTGCCCAAAGGCAAAAACATATTTGACAAAAATACATACTTGGATAGAAATAATGATAAAGGAACATATACATTTAAAACCAGAAATATTCTTGTTGGGCATCATACCAGAAAAATATGATAAAGGGAATATGTACTTAATATTACATGTGTTAACAGCGGCCAGAATTGTATTTGCCCAATATTGGAAGGGTGAGGAGATCCCTACAGAAGAGAAGATAATAAAAAAAGATATTAGAATGTGCAGAAATGAATAGATTAACGCTTGAAATTCAGGAGAAGGAAGACACTGAATATTTTGAAATATGGGATTCGTTTTATCTAAGGATAAACAATAGACACAGAAGTTAGAACCTTTAAAACCACAAGAGAAGGATTAGTTTTATTATTTATCTATTACTTATTTATTTATTACTAGGTGACCTACAAGGTCCCTTCCAACTCTGATTATCGTTATGAGGGCTGATTACTGTACGTTGTTATTAACTTTGATTAGTATTAATTAAATAAAATTAATATGTATTAATTTTATGATAAGAAAGCATTATTACAGGACTATTACTGAAAAATATTATTACAAACAGGATGAAGATTGCTCAAAGTAATTATAACCAGACAACACGCTGTTCATATGGATATTGAAAATTTTGCTCTTTCTACTTATAGTAAAACTAAAAAACTGCAAAAAAAATAAATTTGATTCTGTTGTCAAATACATGACCATGAAGATATAAATCACATGACCATGAGGATGCTGGGACAGTGTGAAAAATGGTCATAAATCACATTTTTCAGTGCCGTTGTAACTTTGGTCACTAAATGAACTAAGTCGAGGATTACCTTTAAAACTACACAGCATGAAAATGGTCCACTTCTATTTTATGAACTTCTTAATCTATTTGTTGAAATAGAGGGGCACATCTGCTCCGTTGTATTCAATAAATGTGTTTTACTTATGGAATTCTACTCACAGATGGAGTTCCATTTAAGGAAATAAGGAATTGGTAAAGAAGCTTGCAGTATTTATTGTAGAGGTGGAAAAGGGGGAGAATGGGAGCAAGCAGCTATATGCTAAATGGTCTAATTTGTTGTGTGACTTGAAACACCTATTAACCGGCATTCCTCAACTTACAGCCATTTGTTTAGTGACCATCTGAAGTTACAACAGCACTGAAAAGTGACGAATAGAATAGAATAACTTTGTCACTTCGAATGTACACTAATTGGCATACATTAAAAATGAAATTTCATTGCATACAGTTCTTAAAAGGTCACCACCTCCAATATTATACTACATATGACAAGATAAACAAACAAATACAAAATTATGTATATACCCATATATATTACACAGAGAAACTATAGTCTGGTTTGGATGTATACCATATTTTTCAGACACACTTCCCCCCGCCCCCCAAAAAAATTGGGTAGAAATGTCTGTGCATCTTATAGAGCGAATATGAGACTGTTTTTGGCCTCCTGAAACCTCTGCGCATCCCGTTTTTGGCCTCCCCGGCCCCCCAGAAGCTGTCTGCAGGCCAAAAACAGGATGCTCGGAAGGACAAAAACCTTTTTTCTTGTTTGCCTCCTCTAAACCTAGGTGCGTCTTATAGTGTGAAAAATACAGTACATGTTTATGGTGAGAACAAATCTTGTGAGTTTACCAAACAGGATGGCATAGGGAACAAAGCTGTTATAGAATCTGGTAGTCCTGCTAGAAATACATGGAAACCTCCTCCCAGAGGGGAGCAACAGAAACAGACCATAAAGTGGGTGTGTGGGGTCTCTAACGATGCTATAAGCTCTAAGCACAAAGCGCTTATAAGCAGTATCCTGAATAATGGGAAGCGAGTTTTCTATAATTTTCTCGACTGTCCTTACTACTCTCTGTATGAACTTTCTATCTGAGGCACTGCTGCCACCAAACTAAACAGCGTGTTAAAATGTTCTGTCGTGCCTCTGTAAAAAGTGGTCAGGACAGAAGGAGAAAGAAGTGCTCTCCTCATCCGACGCAGGAAATGCAGACGCTGGTTTGCACGCTTCACTAAGTATGATGTCTGGAGAGACTAGCTCAGATTGTTAGTTATCTGCACCCCCAAATACTTAATACTGTCAATCACCTCTACAGCTACATCCTTGATGCTGACTTGTGACTGTTTTTCACACAACTATTACAGCATCCCTGTGATCACATGATCAAAATTCAGGCGCTTGGCAACTGGCATGTATTTATGACGGTTGCAATGTCTGGGGGGTCACGAGATCCCCTTTTGTGACTTTCTGACAAGAAAAGTCAATGGGGAAGCCAGATTCACTTAACAACCACCTTTACTAACTTAACAACTGCAGTGATTCACTTAGCAACTGTGGCAAGAAAGGTCATAAAATGAGGCAAAATTCATTTAATAACAGACTTGCTTAGGAATGGAAGTTTTAGGCTCAATTGTCATCAAAGTCTACCTGGAGTTTAAGGTCAAAACAGGGAGGGATTTGCAGCGGTCGGTGTAATAAACAACATTTACATCTAGCGCCATTAAATCAATGTTTTACCCATAAGTTGACTGATTCCTTCCTTTAACTAGCCAGGTGAGGTTGTTTGTTAACTTTAAAAAGAAAGTTTTTTACGGCTCTATCTATCCGTAAAAAAATTCTTCCAAGCATCAAAAGACAGGGCAGGCGACCTTACCCAAAAAGGCCACATTTCTGGAGTTCTCCAGCATGACATCTCTGTACAGGTCTTTCTGAACAGGATCTAGCCAAGACCATTCGTCCTCGGAGAAACACACAGCCACCTCCTTTAGAGAGACAAGAACCTGCCAAAAAAAAAAAAGCAGCGCACCCCTATGAGCAAACCAATTGCATTTGCAAATTCTCCCCTTCGGTTCAAGAGTCCCAAAGCAAAGATTTGCAGTGGGTTAAACAGGAATCTTCTGCGGGGTTAAAAAAAATCTGATGTGAAAAAAAAACAACTGACAGAGCTCACAGTATTTGACTGAAGTAACATTGGTAGAAGCAGCAAATTATCTGAGGAAATGGATTCTGTAGATCTGTTTCAGTCAGGCTTCCGTTCACAATCATCCAGATCTGGAGATATTTATGGGTAGGCTTTGACTTACAACCAACTACTTGAACAGGGATGGGCTTCAAAAATTTTAGCCAAGGATTCTCTGCCTGGCTGCTGAGTGGGCGTGGCCATGGCGGGCGTGGCCTACTCATCCTTCTGCACCATGGGGGGGAGGCGCATTTTGGTCTCCTCACAGCTACAGAGTCAGCCATCAGGAACAATAAACTAGCAGAACCAGAAGCAGAACAATTAAGGGTGAGGGTAGATGCAGCCCTCGCCAGTGGCAAAACACCTGCTTCCAATCTCACAATTCAAGGAGAGCAGTAACATCTCTAGGAGAACCAAACATCACCCTCCTGCCAGCTGATAAAGGAAATGCACAGTCATCTTGAACATAGATGACTACAAGGCCTAAAGGTAAAGATAAGGGTTCCCCTCGCACATATGTGCTAGTTGCTTCCAGCTCTAGGGGGCGGTGCTCATCTCCGTTTCTAAGCCGAAGAGTCAGCGCTGTCCAAACACGTCTCCATGGTCATGTGGCCGGCATGACTAAACGCCAAAGGCACATGGAATGCTGTTACCTTCCCACCAAAGTGGTCCCTATTTTTCTACTTGCATTTTTTTACATGCTTTCGAACTGTTAGGTTGGCAGAAGCTGGGACAAGTAACGGGAGCTCACTCCGTTACACAGTGCTAGGGATTCGAACCGCCAAACTGCCAACCTTTCTGATCGACAAGCTCAGTGTTTTAGCCACTGAGCCACTGTGTCCCCTAACAAGGGCTAGGACAGGTGAACCATCTTCTGAAGGACACAGCTACATATGAGACTCTGAAAAAAAGATTCTACCAACGCTTCCAAGAAAAAGACCATTGATTTCTTGCAACACTTCCAGAAAGTCCAGTTGCCTCTTGAAAAAGCACCTTTGGGACAACCTGGATGACTGAGAATCTCCATAGACATCTTTCCTCACAGCTAAGTCTGTCACCGCTTCTAATCTGGACAGTTGCAGCAGAATGCACTGGTGGAACCTTCTCAATCCCAACACCTTCAGAAGAGTGCAAGGACAGCTCATAAAAGACTTTGATTTTTGGGGTGCCATCAACATTCAGATGACCCTGAGCTCAATATCATACGTAGAGTCCATTGAAAGAGACCTCCAACTGATATATGTATCTTAACTGACATTTCTCCCCCTACCTGAGTCCGGGGTTCAACTGGCTCTTCAACTTCTCTAGACACAGAAGAACCTATGAATGCAGATTTTCCATTCCCTGTGAGGTAAAAATGACATAAGCAGAATTTGTAGAAACATAGTTATTAAGATATGGGCTAGTATTATACAAAACAGGGCCCAGAGAATCAGGAGAAAAAAATGCCTTCTTTCCAAGGAATCTTCTCTCACCTGAGAAGGTGCCCTGACTTGGATCTTCATGGAAGTTCCCATTGAAGAACAGGTCCCCGGAATAACCTGGCCAATCCCTTCTTTCCTCCCGATTCTCAGAGATGGACTTCAAGTTTAGTTCTTGGAACTGATAGACCAGGAAAAGCAAAATAAAAAATAAATAAAAAGTACAAGTAAGATAATTTATGAAAAAGAAGCATATTCTTACTGCCAGCTCAAAAATATGAGCCAGCGGTGTGTGGCAGCAGCCAAAAAACCTAATACAATCCTCGGTTGTATAAACGGAGGCACAGAATCAAAATCACATGAATTATAAGTACCGCTTTATAAAGCCTTAGTAAGGCCACATCTGGAATACAGCTTCCGGTTTTGGTCACCACATTACAAAGAAGATGCTGAGCCTTTGGAAAAAGTTCAAAGAAGAGCAACTAGGGTGGTTAAAGGCCTGGAGACTAAAGCATATGAAAAACAATTGCAAGATAATTTTACATATCTTAACAGTGGCCAGGATAACTTTCGCACAAATGTGGAAAATCCCCAACACCCCCAGTGAGGAATTAGTCCAACAAAAATGGAATGTGCTGAAATGAACATGCTCACGTTAAAAATGAAAGAGAAAGAAGATTCCGAGTATTATTCAATCTGGCACAAATGGTATGAATGGATAGCAAACAAATATAAGAAATAAGAGGTGAAGATTAACTGTAAGAGACCTTAAAACAGTGATTTGTAAATATGTAAAATATATAAGAATATAAGATAGAATTAATTATTGACAAAGATAATAGTTATTGATAGGTGTATTAAATGTATTAAGACTTGTAAGATAACATTTGTAGATGTCAAAATGCTGTTGAAAACATGATTATGATTTGAGTTGTATTGGTGGAAAATGCAATAAAAATCTATTTAAAAAAAAGAATTTATGAAAAAGAAGCATATTCTTACTGCCAGCTCAAAAATATGAGCCAGTGGTGTGTGGCTGCAGCCAAAAAAACTAATACAATCCTTGGTTGTATAAATGGAGGCATAGAATCGAAATAAAAAGTATTAGTACTTTATAAAGCCTTAATAAGGCCACATCTGGAATACGGCATCCAATTTTGGTCACCACATTACAAAAAAGATGCTGAGCCTATGGAAAAAGTGCAAAAAAGAGCAATTAAGATGATTAAAGGCATGGAGACTAAAGCATATGAAAAACGATTGCAAGATTTGGATGGATGGATGGATGGATGGATGGATGGATGGATGGATGGATGGATGGAT